ACATTATGAGTTTCTATAAATCCTCATCAAATTCTAATTATCTGCTTGTGTTTCCATCTCCACCAGAGCCTCCCTTTAGTCATGGTTTTCCAGGTAAAGGATCTGTGGCTGTGCCACGGTGTTAGTGACTTCTGGATCTTCTTGGGGCTGTGGCAATGAAGACCATCACGCAGCACTGACATTTACAGCATTGTGCTTAAACTCTTGAGCTTTTCCACACAGTATTTCAGTGAATGTTACAAATATGCAGTATATGCTCTAGCTTAGGTCATTTTCTAATCCTACAGGAGAGTGGGATGGAAAAGAGCAGCACCCTGCAATGCAGAGACTGGCACAGGGCCTTAGGAGTAGATGATCTGCTGGGAGGAGAATTTATTGTAAAGGAAGGAAGCTGTAAGATCCCCGTGCTGCAAACACAGTAGTGCACGAGTGCAGTCCAAAAAGTAGGTGGGTGAAGGCTTCAGAAGGTGGAAGTGCCTTTCTTCTACAGGAGCCAACAGGAGGGTAGGGATGTCCAATGCTCATACTCAAGCAATTGGTTTGTAGGGCTAGGGAATGATATTTTCATGTTCCTGCACGGGTAAGTGTGAATCTGGTCAATTCAGAGCTCGTGGGCGTCTCTGCTTTCCTGCCCAGGACAGTGCTGTGCGTTAGGTGAAGCGAGAGGGGATGGATCCATCATACTGCATGGCAGGGCAAGGCTGCAGGACTGCAGCGCTGCCCTGGTGTGTGTGGCGGCCCTGAGTACAGGACACCGGCAAGAGGTGTCCTCTTTCCCGGTTCCCGCTTTCCCTGCCAGCCCTGGCACAGTGCAGGTGCTCACCTCCACCTCATTTTGTGACCTGGTGGGCCAGAGGCAGCTGGGTGACAGAAGAATGGGTTAATGGAGAGAGAAGGAGTTGTGTGAGGTCCTGTGCAGCACCAGGAGGGAAGGAGCTGAGGGTGAGGTTAGTGTGCACGTACTCACACATGTGCAGACACACGGGCGCCCCAAGTCTGTTATCCTGCAAAGGTTTGAGTATGAGTTTCAACTTTGTGTACCAGAGTTGACAATCCTATTTGAAGCACAAAGAAGTACTTTCATAAGCCTTCTGGAAATTAGGGCTAAGAATCTCTAAGGAGCATGAAAGTTGTAAACTAGATAAATATTTAAGTGTGTGCTGGCTGCTTAGGCCACTCTTGTTAGTGAATGACACCACAAGCAGTTTCCGTTTCCACCTTCACAGTAAGCCTAAGACCTGTTTTGATTTCACAAGCTTTCTGGCACATCGCTGCTGCAGAATGCAAATCCCTCAAAGGTAGAAGAACTTGTAGGGGATTAAATGTGAAAATAACGCTGAATTTTACATTGACCTTCAGGTGTGTTTTTGTTGATCACACATTCTCTGTTGTTTGAGTATGTTTCTATGAAAAATATTTACTCAAGCATTTCACAAAGTGATCCGCAAGAGGTAAGCACAAAATTTTGACGTTAAGGGTTAAATTCACCCAGAGGCTTAGGCTGAACAAAGCGTGTGGACATGACAACATCTCACTCCTTCCATTGGGATCTTCAATCCTGAGTTAGACCTCCAGGCACAGGTCTGGTTTTCAGTGGTCTAGGAAGGTGTGAAAACCTCAGAGCAGGATTCACAATGGTGGTCGGCGATGGTACCTTTCTAGCCTGGGTATCCTAATGGCTATTGCACTCTCCTGGGGGTTAGGTGGCTCATGTTCAACTCCCTCTCTGCCTCAGTGAGAAAAGCTTTTGAACATGGTTTTCAACCCCTCAGTGACTGCTTTATCTAAGAGCCTTCTGGAGTTGAAGCAGACTTATTTATTTCTCAGGTTGGAGCAGTTCTGTTTTGTAAAAAAAAGTTAATATATTCACTGGGCAGGACAGAAAACTGAGGAAACCTCTACAGATCAACATTGATGAGACTCAGGCATAATTAATACAGGGTTCAGTTGTTCAACTGAAAAGCTAGGAAACGCAAAAGCTTAAACTCTTTCCACGGAATTTAGCTGTACAAATACTGTTGTGTAGTTTCACACAAAGGTGTATTTTTACTCCATATGCCTCTGGTGCCACCAGTTAAGTGTCTGGTTTGCCTCTGCAGCTCCCTGGCTTTCTGAGGAATGTGCTAATGGCGTAGCCTATCTGCAGTCCAACCACGAGGTCAGGGTGGCCCCGACTGAGCTGGGTGAGAAGTGATGGGGCAGTTCATTCCTTTTATGGACCCTTGTATAGCTCAGGGACTTCACCCACCACGTACATGTGTCTGAATTTAGAGCCTCTGTGTCGCGAATGAGTGGTTTAGAGGCCGCTTGAAGAATCACCGTCAAAGGTATTAGCAGAAGGTGATTTTAATAGTAAATTGTAAAAGTGTGACTTAACACAGTTCGATGGCAAGGTTCACTCTATTACTTACTACACGGATGGAACATAAATCGAGTCAAAATTTCAAAATTGGGCTAGAATGATTTACATAGAGACTGAGGACAAAAATGGTAAGGGAGACCCTCCCTTTGAGTCACGAGGTTCAGAGAAGACCACCTTGCTCTCTAAACACCAGATGGAGCTTAGGTGTGGCTGGATCCACTCTTAGTCTCAGACTTGGTCAACGGTTTATATCTAAGGGGGGAAATACGAGGAATAAGGAAACCCTCCTGTTGAGTCACGAGATTCAGAGTAGACCCCCTTACTTTCTAAACTCCTTCTCAGAGAGGAGTCGAGGTGCGGCTGGATCCACTCCTAGTCCCAGACTTGGTCAACGGTTTATATCTAATACAAAAAGGGTAAGGAGACCCTCCTGTTGAATCACAAGGTTCAGAGAAGACTGCCTTGCTTTCTAAACTTCTCAGAGAGGAGTCTAGGTGTGGCTGGATCCACTCTTAGTCTCAGACTTGGTCAACGGTTTATATCTAATACAAAAAGGGTAAGGAGACCCTCCTGTTGAATCACAAGGTTCAGAGAAGACCGCCTTGCTTTCTAAACTTCTCAGAGAGGAGTCTAGGTGTGGCTGGATCCACTCTTAGTCTCAGACTTGGTCAATGTTTTATGTCTAAGGGATTATATATGTTTAGCAGCAGTCTAAGGTTCATTCACAATTTTAAGGTGGATCACAAGATTTTAGCAGAACTTAATCATTGACTAATTTAACACTTACAAAGTAAGTTAGTAGAGTCTACTACAATCACAACAGTGACTTAATTACAGATTATGCTTACTATCAGTTCACACATACACACGCAGAAATATATATATTAATGTACAAAAGGTATACCTGTTAAAAATTCCCCTCGAGTTCAGTGAAATATTCATGTCAAATGTCTTGGCATTTCTCAACGGGCGATGGGTTGAGCCTCGAGGACCACGAGGTCCCGTGGCAGTTGGTGATGGTCCTCCAAATATCGCAGACCCGAGAGGTCGCGAGCTCTGAGAGGCGTCCCACTCAGAGGGAGATGCGGGCGCAGCCCACTGCGGTCCCGGAGAGCTCAAAGGGTCTCACTTAGGACTACCGTTTATAGGTTCGCAAGATGATTGGCTTTAGTCATCTGCAAATTTCCATACTGACCACAGTCCCAGGTTGTAGTTACCAAAAATTCTCAAGGTTTCAGTAACAGTAATATCATTCCACTTGAGCTATGACTCAGATAAGGGTATCAGGGGATGACACCTGGGCCGAGCAGGAGGAGTACGTTCCCGGCCTCAGCTATGCAGAGTTTCTGATACGGTCAAGAGGCGCTCAACCAAGGCTGAAGTTTCGTTGGAATTTCTGAGATCAACAAGCGGCCCAGATCAACAAGCAGCCTGGGGGGAGGCGGGGGGAATGTACCACCACACTCTTGGAGGAGTGAGGGAAATGTAAGGGTGTGCTTCTGCTACCAAGCTGGTTCACCTGGTTTTGCACTTCCCCTTCTTGTCCACGCAGAGTGCGTGCTAGTTGCAGGTGGCCCGTGCTGTGGCAGGGGAGCCCAGTGCAGACCAGCAGGGGCTCCACCCAGCACGCTCACAGGTCAGGCTGCGTTGCTTGGTCAGAGGATCCCAGGCCAGTTACCAGCACGGATAACAAAAACAGCCTGGCGTTGTGTTTGCACAGACCTAGATCACAGACGGCTTAGGAAGCGCTCAGAGCAGTCGTCCAGGGTCGAATCGTAAATGCCTTACTCAGACAAAAGACACGTGAAATTGTTTTGTTGGTTTTTTGGGGGGGGGGGTAAATTTTTTTTATTATTATTATTTTTAATTGGTGCTTTGTCCAACAATTCAATCAATCTTACACGATTTGGCTCTAATTTTATTTTAAAGCAATCTATTTTTCCCCTATATAAATGTAAAGAAATCTCAGATGCACATCAAAAAGCCATTTTCTATTCCCTGTGTTGTGTCAACCTTTCCATCTCTGTAGCAGTTGTTTCATTTGCTCTATTCCCTTCATTCACAGTGCAGTGTAGAATTGGAGAATTCAGCAAAGGGGAAAAAATGATTCGGTCGTCAAGACTATCACTTCCAGTTCAGGATTATTGCTCACAATATTTTCTCTGGCTCAGTCCAGACTTCAGTGGCTCAGACAATAATGCTGTCCTTGTACTTGATTTGGTTAAAACACTATTACTCAGGCCTCACACTGGTGAAAGGAATTTCAGTGCAAAGGAGATGTTTTCATAGCATGGTAAGCTAAAAGAAAAACCATCTTTTAGTGAACTGCGCCTTTCCAAAAAACACTGAAGAGTTAGTACTAGTATGGCTCTTATCCCCTTAGGGAGATTAACACACTACACCAGGAACAAATAAATAAATCACACATGGTTGTTGAGCAGACGTGGGAAAAATGATTCTTCTTTACTGAAACTATTCGATCAAGTGACCTTGTTTCGACCTGGGTTTGGCCAGAAGCCAGTCCCAGTGGGACAAACATAAGAAGGCTGCACTTGAGATGGCTTTGGGTTTTTGCGTATTTTCTTTTTGTTGGGCAGAGTTTTAAAATAACAGAGAAAACCCAAAACCACTCGAATAACTGATGTATTTATTTTCTTATATACACTTAAATATGGCACATCTGACAGTAGTTGTACAATAAACTCAAAATGATAATCAAAGCTGGACAGTAGATCAAATAACTCAGTGCTGAACCTATTAGAAGCCAAATCCTGTACACTGAATTTCTGAAGAAAGTTTCACCCAGGAGCTGCATTAGCTAAGGATTCAGAGGCTAAGATTATCTAGTCTCAATTTCTGAAAGACTGGCTGATGACTGTCACTCTATTACCAATATACCAGCTTCATCTTCCGTAACGTAGTGTTGAACTGGCACTTTCCACTCTTTCTTCTACGCAGCCAGCAGTTCATCCGTTGTTGTTACCTCTTAGAGAACAATTACCAATGTCCCAGAGGATTCACCTGCAGTTAGTGATTACTCTAATAAATAAATGCAGACTGGATTCACTCTTCTGCTATTAATGTGGAAGATGTTCGTGTTTACTATTGTTTGAAAGTCAGTGACAGCTACTCTGCGAAGCAGTGGATTTTCAGAGAATAGGGGAAGCTCAGTCAAGGAGTTTCTTTGCTTTGGGACCCATGAGAACCTCTCTTCTCCTTCGGACAACGACAATGCCTGGAACACGTTGGTTTTGCAGTTGGGCATGTTCTGGGTTGGGATGGACATTTGTCTTCACAGCTGTTTGATAAAGGAGAAAAAAGGAAAAAGAGAGAAGCATTGTAATATGATAATTCCTTGCTGTCGCAGTCCTCAACTTTTTCATCATTGAACACTGCAATGCTCTCTAGACAACGTTTTGGAAAGTGTCGACACCCTACAAGAGAGGGAGACAAGACTGCTGCCTGACAGTTCTTGTCTGCAGCAACATGTCCTGCTGTTGTCCATTTGTCCACAGTCACGACCTTAGTAATGCTTTCATTTCCTGTGAGCGATGAAGTCCAGAGTGTCAGCACTGGATAGTGCTGCCCTCAAATTCTGCGAAGTACCTTAGCTCACCTGACACTTCAGCTTTGGTCCACCAGGAACACTGGGCATAAAAGTCTGGCATCAAAGTCCTGTGTCCAGATTATAGTAACTTCTAGAAGCCAAACTCATGTAAATAAATGATTGCATTGATCCCCTCCCACCTGTCTGAAACACATAAATGACCAAGTCTCTCATGCTCGCTTTCAGCTCTGCTGATTCTATTTTTATACTTGTTGTCAACTATTTTATGCTCGCCCATATTTTCAAAGCTGAACCTAAAGATGCAAAGGTTACTTCTTCCACAGCGTCTTCTCCATGAATGAACTTATGAAGTCTATGAGAATGGACGCTGTGGGTGATCGTTCAGTGAACTGCAGCTCTGCTAAGGTACGCAGGGAAACTGGATGCTGACTGTCCTTACATAAGCTTTCAGCCAGAGCTCCTGCATGCTCCTGGGTCTCTGCATGTGGCCAAGGCTTTCTGAGAAGGAAATTTTGAAACTAAACTAATGCATGAAAAATGACTATTTTGAAAGGGTATTTTCTATCAAAGTTTTGCCAGAGAAACCTTAAACCTAGTTACACGAAAGGATTAGGAAAATGCATGGAGTATAATGGCCCCCGAACAATTTTCCAGCTTCTCAGTGGAATCAGAGCTGATTGAGGGGCTTTGTACGCATACAAAATTGCATTAGCTCTAGAAAATCACTTGCTCTGAGGACAAAGTGAGTAAGGGATGAGCTGTATGGTGTAGATGCCAGCTTAGGGAGCTTTTGTCCCTAGACATCCATGAGTCTGCATTCAGCTGTGACAGAGAACACAGGATGGGTTCTATCTACCTACAAGTGCAAGACTCGGTATCTCACTGTAAATCCCCTGTGTCACACAGTAATTTCAGTTGTAGCACAGGTTTAACCATCATTCCCTTAAGACTAGGGGAAAAAAAAAGTAATAAGTATTGGTAGTTGAATAGCATCCTTGTCCAGATTTCTTTAAAACATGTTAATTAAATAAACCTTAGACTCCTCCTATGAAGCAAGTATTGTAAATATCACTTCTATTATTATTATCTCCCTAACTGCAGTAAGGTATTTTATCCTGGGTGGGCCTCCTAGCTAATTCAGCACTTCCACCTCCAGCATCTACGCAAGCTAATTCAGATCTTGCAGCACAGACTCTGAATGACAAGGAACACTTACCTGCAGGTTTCAGCATGAAATATCTTGTGTTTTAGAGCACAGCTCTCCTGGCTCTCCCTACACAAATAGCAGCTGCAGTTCTCTTTACTTTGAAAGAAATCTGTGGGACACTTCTGTCTACAGATGCATTCACAATTTTCTTCGTCAAATTCCATATGTTGTCCACACATAGCCAGCTCAGCAAGAGGAGGGAGTCCTGCAATAGCACATACATCTTTTAGCAGTAAGCTTTACATGTCTAAATCCTGCTTTTGAAGAGGCTAACTCTTTCTTCGCAATCGCTAGGACTCACACATGTACTTTCTGACAGATTCTAGTCTTCAGAATTTCTGTTGTAACTTACAGTGCAGAAAAGGACTTGAGAGGATTGAGCTGATTATTTCACTTACTCTAATACTGCTATTTCTTGTGGGTCGAACCCAGCATAAAAATACTTTATTTTGGGGCTGTATATTTAAAGAGCCTAGTGTTAGGTTTTGGAATGCACAAATGTTTACTGGACAGCAGGTTTTAAAAAGAAGATCTCAAAAAGGATTTAGTCTATACCCATGACAAAAATGCACATCCACGCAAATTGTCACACTCACCACTCAATGTACTTTACTATCCATATACTGCGGAAATTTGGCAAAAATAATGCTATGTCTAGTAAGATGCGAGCTGGTCTAGCACTTCAATAAGTATATGCACATTTGTCAGTTAAAGATAGAAGAAAATACTTTGTTTCAGAAACAAAACCCCAGCCAAGTGAATGCACTGTCTAATACCTCATCTATCTTCCCTCAAAATACGCATCTGGATCACAATATGGGGCTAATCCTAGCAAAAAGGGAACACATTTCATGAAAGCTTTATTAAAATGCTAGCAGCACATCCCTGCTTAAAGGTCATGGCATATAATGTGTCATTGGGAAGGTAATTTCCTGTAGTTTTACAATTAGCTCTTGGATTTAACCTACGGAATGTGGAATGTAACCTGCGTCTGCGACCTCTGCAGCCTGAGCTCTCATCTCAGTGGCCAGAAAAGGCTTGCACATTACTTGAAAGAAACCTTCATTATTATTTACTTAGTGCTGGAAAACCAATATCCAGACAGAATAAAACCCAAGTCCTATTGGAAGGGAGGAAGGAATCTGCCCCAGATTCTTGGAAGACAAACCTCTTCCTTGGGGTGATAAAGCTTGGCGTGTGTAAAGTGGCGTAGATTGTTTCGGTCTCACTTTGTTTCAACCTCAAAGACAGATTTTGTCCCAGCCACTGCCAAACACAATGTACTTCAGAGAATGATATTTTATCTGAGGAAATACTGAGTCTATGTCAACAAAAGCTATAATTTAACAGGCCGCAAATTTTAATGCTCCAAGCTGACCTTACAAAAGGCTAAGAGTTAAGAGGACTCTGGCTATTCACAGTCCTTTGGACTTACTCTGAAATATAGAGTACTAATCCTTTCTTGAGTGAAAAGTCTAGCTTGAGCTTAACTACCTAACCTGATGGTCAGATGATCTGATCCAGAGTGAGAACATGCAACTGATCTCTTGCTTATTAACATTAGGAGATTGTAATCAACAGACCAGTTTATGAGGTTATTTAGTTTTGTTTTAGCTTGCTAGCCTAGGAATTGCTTGCCAGCTTGCTTTTATTATTGCCTTGGATGGTTTATTCTTTTGCTTGCTGCATGTAGGTTAAACCACAAAGGCAAGGCTTCCTTCTGTGTCCATCTGCTCTAGTGCTATGATAATTTTATTTTGACCAGTACAATTTCCTGAGAAAAATGATTTTTTAAAAACCTTATACAGGGCTTGGAGAAATTTTAACTTCTCTTAATGTTCACTGCCAGTAAGTATCTTTAGACTTACACAGTTATCCCCCAGAATATTTCCTGCAAATATATTTGACAGATTAAATTTTTCCAGGAGAAGCAGAAATTTTTCCTCTTCCATTTCCTTCCACAGACCTGAAGGGGTATATGTGCATACTCCTGAGTATGTATGGCATATCAGTTTGAAAGCTTCCTAAATACCTTAATATTATCATAAAAAGTAGTCAAATACTTTGAAAGGTCATATAATCTTTTGCAATTGCTACAGCTAATAGACAGGACTGATTTTGTCTATCTTATTCCTGATTAAGTCTGTTCTTAAGAATTTCCCACAACAAAGATTCAGCACATTCCCCATGCAATATATTCCAGGGCATAATGTTTTCTACAGTTAAAAAGTTTTCCCTAATGCCCATCATACAATTTAAGGCCTATGTAAAATAGAAGTTTATCCAGGGTGCCTACTTCCCTAACTCTTTTTCATACTTCCCTATTTCCTATTCAAATCGCTAATATAGAGGGAGTAAAATGCCCAAGCAAAAAACATGAAATGGGCATAAGCACATACGAGTGTTTATTTTCAGGTGATTTTCTACACCATAAGCCAAGTCTGTCTAGGGGTGTGGAATCAAAACTATAACTCCCTCAATGAAAAAATGGGACAAAACCAAAACGAAACACAAGTAGCCTGGAGATAGTAAGCAAAAGTGTCCATTTGTAATTTCATCTTTACCTTCTCGTCTGTTGGGGTGTTGTACAGCTACAACACATTCACATTTGTCACTATCCCAGATCCATCCATTATGGCAAAGTTTGTTGGTAAAGGGGCATCTAGAAGCAAAAAAAAAAAAAAAAAAATAGGATAGGAATTAAAAAAAAATATTAGGAGTATCAGTGTAGTCATTTGGCAAAATGAGCCTGCTAGTATGCTGGGTCTCACACTTGTACTACGTGAAGGTACAGCATCTGTGTGCATTACTGCTGCAAACAGAAAACCTTGGGACTGGATGGTTTTGTTGATAGGGCTGAGCTGTCTGGCTCCCAGGAACTAGAAGGAGCAGGTACAGCACGTATTTCAGATTACGCCCTTAGGAAACAGCTGAATTTCGCAGCTCCACTTTTCCATAGAACAGCTCTACCCTACCCAGGGTAGTCTCTGTCTTACAGTATTCATGCCATATAACTGTATTCAATTTTGCCATGCTGCCAGAAAGTGCAGCTCCATTTTAAATTTGCCCATGCTTAAGGACTGTTAAGTGCACTGTTTTCAGGGTCAGAGGGGCCAGTTTGACTTTTAGGCACTTGGCTCCAGTATTTGCATAGGAAGGGGATCCAGAGTGGCCAGCAGGCTGAGTGAGGGCTGGAGTGGCTTTGCTGAAGTGCCACCTCTCCCCCAGCCCAGATGGCTAACTAAAGAGCAGTTACAGGGGCAAGCCTACATGCAAGCTAGACAGAGACATCTGAGCTAACTTCAAATGAGTCACTCAAGCTGGCTGTGCTTCTAGAGTCTTTGTTAAATTAATGTAACCTGTCTTCTTCAGGACCACAGGTATTTTATACCATAGTTTGGAGTTAGATGTGAGATGACTTTTCTCCAGCCAGTGAGCTGACAGATGCAAACCGGGACTGGACCAGAAAGTGCAAAGCCACAGTTCGCACTGCTTCTGACCCGACGTGCCATGAGGTATGGCAGAGGGCTTTAGCTTGAGCACAGCACTCTGTGTGCCTTGGCTAAATAATGTGCAAGCAGAGTCACTCATGTCAGGTTGAAAAAGTCTATGCACAAATACCCAAATAGTTCCAGTGGAGTGTAGAGCTAATATGTGCACTTTGAATCCTCGCTCAAGCACCTGTGTCTTAATGAGTCTAGATCCTGCTGATTGTTGGATTCTGTTGTCCATTCACTTATAATTTGGTGGTCCATTCACCCATTCACACCATTCTCGTGTCCATTCACCAGGTTTAGTTGAAGCTTTCTAACCCTGAGTGATAATCAAGTTATTTCGAAAAACTGTTGGGATCACAGAAAGAGAAGGGACCATTGTAATGACCAAACCCGAACAAAATAATTTTCATACCTCAGACTGCACAACGTGTAGAAATTTGTAAATGAGGGAACTTACCCATCTTCTTCTGGGTATTGGACAGATCTTCGTATAATGGCGTACTGATGACGCTGGGTATTTGATAGACACTTACAGCCTGTGTGATTGGCAATTTTGATTGGCACGGGCTCAGGAACACTTGTCAAGGGAACCGAAATCTCAAAGAGCTAGGTGGGTGAAATAACATTTATTTTTCAGTTTCCATTTTACAGTTAATATTTGGAGTTTTAAATCAAAACCTCTTACCCTTTGCCGCCATTTTCCCCACCCTTGCTCTTTTCTAGGATAATTACCATAGGTATAAATGAGCGGGTGGGCACTGAGGGTTTTGAAGAGTAAGCAATGCCCACCAAGGTGGGAACTTGCCAAAATGCTGGTCCCAGTGCTGTGCAGGGCATCATCCTGGAAACATCCCTCTCTTGACAATAGCAGGAGCCTAAGGAACCAAGCAGGCTACCTTCAGTGCGCTCAAATTGTTTAGGGTGATCTCTGAGTAGCCTTGTGGAAGCCCTGGTTCCTTGGGCAGCTACATGCAGGAGCTGTTGAAGTGACCCACACCCGCTCTGCCCAGCCAAGCCAGCTTCCTTCCCATGGAAACCAAAGCAAAGGGTATGTCTTTGCGTGCCAGCATGTCTTGGCTTGATGCTGCATCCACACGCAGGGGCTGAGAAGTATTCCTAACTGACTACTTAGACATCTAAATTTAGGTGTCGCAGTGCCTAACTTTAGGTAGCATGAATATCCTTCAGTGGATATTTTATACCAAGGGAAAAAAAAAATGCTCTCATTAATATGGTAGTAATTCCATTCATTTTAGAGAAGTAAATCTGGACTGATGGTGGTTTGTCCAGGAGTGGAATTTAGCTGGGGGCTTTTGAAGGAATCTTTATTTTGAAGGATGCTAAAGGAATGTTACACTCTGCAAAACTGCAGTTTTTCAACAAACTTCTGAATTGCTGCTCCAAAAACACATAAATAAATAAATACTTTTTAGCCTGACCTAGCTCCCTGAGCTGATCAGATGTCTTTTGTGTGTGGCCAACAGCTCATAACAGCTTTCTCTTTCTGGTGTGGAATGAACATTGACGCAAGAAGGACAGGCCCTGATTTATTTTACTCCAGCTATATTCCAGTACAGCCAGACACAGTGGAATTAAATTCCAACAAACCTGAAACAAATACAGAAGTGAATCGAACCTGCTCCCCATGAGGACTTCAATTTTCTTTTTCAAACAACTGCCCTCAATCTTTGTTCTGCTTTAAAGAAAAGCCTTTTTCATAACTAGAATTTAAAATATTACTCCAGTTCAAAAGCTTTTATCAACTGTAAGTAGGGATGCACAAGGTGAAGATTAATCAAGGAGGACCAGTCTCCTGTGCTCCTTCTGTAGGTACGAACACAGATGGTTTCCTCTGTAGAGCTGATTGAAAGGACTAAACTTGGAGCTCCGCTCAGAGTCACCCACTGGAGCAAGGTATCTCTGTACATAGACACTAGAGGGAGTCTACAGAAAGAAGTTCTCTGGATACTCCCTTTATGCTCACTTTTTGGCACTGGTCATTAAAACTCAGGTATTTGTCACCTGTTGCAGCTAAGCAGTAATTGGCTACTGGTTTAAGCCTTTCTTTTCCAAAGTGACTTCTGATTTGGGACATTCAGATCCTGAGGCATTCAAACTGAAAGCATCTGTCCTCTCCTGTTGAAAATGTCCCCTTTTTAGGCTCGCAAAACTGCATATCCAAAATTATCAGCCAGCCTTTTTGGCACTGATGGCCATTTTGAAAATGCAGCTCTCAGACTCCTGGCCTCACACAACAAAATTTCCCGGAGTATCTCTTAAATCTTTGGTGCAGAGGATCCCACAAGCCAATACTCTCAAGAGGTCCTAGGTCCAAGTAACAATACACTAATGAAAGATTAAGCTCTTTAACATCACGTGAGCCTGCAATCACTTTCTCAGGGCCTGATTTTCCATCTCTATGCATATATAGCTATTTTTAATAATGCAACATGAATGTAGAATGTTATTGCACATGCCTGCATTCACTCCACATGGATAAAAAATTAATTCTTCTGTTTGTTATGATAGTGCAGATAGATCTTTCATAACAGGATCTCAGAAACCAAACATCCTCTTTCCCCTCTGTTCTTGGAGAGCCAGAGTAAAAAGAAAGCAGATTAATAGCTTCATTTACCGTTTTTGACACATAAGTTGTACTTGTATTCATGCAGCTCAGACTCTCCTCATTGCAGCAGCCTCCGCATCTGAACACATTCACGCAGGGAGGCTTGAAGAATTTGTTGGTTGTTGTACCCAGCTCCTTGGCAACTTCCACGCAGGTTTCCCTTGGCACGCATTGAGTCTTTTGCCATTCCTCATCTATGACTGGAGAAAACACCATTTTTATGAGCAATCATGGCAAAGTTAAACCTCTGATTAGTGAGGCAGAAGCATTATATAAATAAAAATGAAGTGCTGGCAGGCCATTTGCACTTACTTGGATCGATCTAAGGACCAGAGAGAGTCTGAGTGCAAAATTATCCCAGTAACTTACACCAGCTGCACTGGCAGAGAGGTCGTTGCATTTATACGCCTTTAGCTTTCAACCAGGATGACCAAAATCTCCGTTAATTCCAGTGGGTTAAGTAGAGCTGCATCGATTTCCTCTAGCCGAGAGTCAGTTCCACAGCCTCTGTCTGACAAAGCTGGCCCACACCCTGTTCTCCTTTTCTCCAGGGTAGACCTCCTTATTGTCATTTTATCCTCTCTTTGCATGTACCCCACTGCGGTCTCAGTAGAGCCTGGGCCTGACTGCAAAAGCACATTAATGATTAACAGATTCTGGTCAGAGGGTATTAATACTCCTACTGGATGTCAGCCAGCGAGCACCGTTTCCAAAATGTCTAATGAAATCCAAGACAAACACTCTCACACCTCAGTACCCTCAGGGGTTTGAGTTTGAATAACAGGAATATGAATTCAAGCATGATTTATCTATTCAAAACACTGTGACATCTTTCAAATACTGAATTGTTGTCGACTAGTAATTTATTTTAGACTGATCTGTCAAATTCTGACTGCCAGAAGGAATAATGCATTAACTGACTGAACCAGAGGGAGACAGCAGTGACATTTACATAATATTATCTTGAGTCTTATTAAGAGGTGGCCCTGCTTTTTTTGGCTTTTGCTTACCTGATTCAAGTTATGGAATTACTCGAGGGTCATCAATGCTTATGCTTTAAGTCCGTCTTAAAATTATGAAAAACATTTTCCCTGTCTGCCCCCCTCCTGCCTCCCAAGCTTCTGAAAGATCAAAAGCAAGTTCTATACTGTTAAAAAAATTGTGCTCTCTTCCACTGCAGTCCACCTCCCTACGATTCTGATACATTTACAGGGAAGTTCTGAAAAAAAAAAAAAAAAAATCTGGAAGACTTTTAATCTAGATGCTATACTTTGTCTTCAGATGAGCGTTTATTTCTCTCTTTCCTTTTTAACTGACTGTGTATATTTAAATCAGTTTGTTTATTCCTGCAAAGTCCTTCCCCAGGATTGATTCACTCCAGTTCCCAGTCATGCAAAAAGTACAAGAAATAAGAGCTTGGGGTCCAGATTCTGATTTTACAGCATAAATTAAGAGAAGAATCACTAAAATCAATAGAATTTTCTAGAGCAATGTTAGTCTATCAAAACAGCAATCCAATCCTAGGCCTTAAAATAGAAAATAAAGTGTTTGCCAAACTCATTAAGGTATGTGCGTGTAATCACTTCAGATGTCACTTCAATGAGTGTAAGCGGTGATGACCTTTCCAACTGCACACATCCTCGCTTTATTAACCGCTTCTTTAGCAGAAGGGCTGTTATAGGAAGGGGCGGTCGAAGAATTGGGTGTCACATTTTGTTCAGAAGCACCGTAGTCACCCTGATCTTTTCCATGAGCAAGTGCAGGGCATCTGCTGAGAAATTTGGCTCCAGTACAGATTCCAGCTTGAAAGCGCTGCAGTCCTAGGTGAGCTGAGTGGCTTGGGAGAGGCTGTGGTTAGCCGGGGTGACAGGAGCTTTCAGTGGATTCATCGTTAAAGCTCTAGAAAGGAGGAATAAAGTCCTGAATTTGCCCTGCTGGAGTTTGGGGTGCTGTGGAAGATGGTCTAGCAGTGAAACAATGAGGAGCCTTGACCCAGCCTTCTTGTCAAAACACTTTATTAAAACAAAACAGATGCCCTTGGCAAAAAGATCAATGCTTAATGACTGGAAAGGGTGTGGGAAAGAAATACATGTTTATAGGCTTGGGGTTTTTAAAAGGAGCTTTAGTACCTTGAACATATTAAGATATTAGAACAAAAGTAGTTTCTGTCCTGGGATAATTCCGCTTTGGATGGAAGAATGGAGAAGATGACCCAATAGGCTTTTTTTAACTTAAATTTCAGTGGCTTGATTTTAAATGAGAAAGCTGACATCTCTGTGCCTAGAGTTTGACTGTTAAAGGGAAAGTAGGAAACGATCTAACAGCTTTTCCAAGCAATTATAGGAAGACTTTAACTGTATGACTATAGTCATCTGACTTTATTACCTGAACAGTTACGTTATTCTGCCATTGAAAAAAGCCCATCACAATATGCACTGCCTTGGTAACACTTGACAACATCCTCTGTTGTCTCGCTGTATTGACAAAGGGAATATTTTATTTTTTCAGAAATGCTGGTGCTCACTAAATGAGCAATAGTGAATAGAGAATTACAGCATTTGACTCTAGGTACTACTTCTAACAACAGCTCTGTGGACTCCTAGACTTGTAAAGGTGAGCAAACAAAATGTGTATAGTTAATTAAAGCCCTCTTAATTGTTTTTCAGTGTATATTGGATTATTTTTTTCTGTACAAAATTTCTATGAGAAGTTTAAAACCATGGCTGTCATATGAAAACCCTTTTCAGACTGGCACTCATGTCTGCATTTCTGTGCTGTGGCTCAGAGAGAAGCAAATTAAGGCCTTTGCTCAGCCATAATTTAGCTGAGTAATGGTGTGCAAATGTGGCTGTGGTTATTGTAAAAGTGGTATTGGAACAGGATCAGCAATATCTGATTTCCCAAAAGGAAAGTGATATGATCATATCACTTCAGGGTGCAGACTGAACAAGAAAGAATAGCTCGGTCTGTCCTTTTATCCTGTAGGATAAAGACAGGTGCACTCTTCGCTGGGTAAAAA